CATAGGGTCGCTATGAGTTGCAAGCGACTCGACGGCATATAACAACAACATATTATAGTCTTTAGTATGGAGTACACTTCAACAGGGAAATGAAAATTCTCACAACTGGATAAATAAACAATGTCATGATAATTGGATAAAATACTCTAGTTCTCAAAGATTGCCTTTTACTTAGATCTACAACCAATACTTATAGAAGCAGCAGTTAATAAACAAAATGACCAAAAAAAGAGGAGGGAAATGTAAAGAAAAAAAAGCAACATATTACATTGGACAACTCTTCAACAAAAGACCTCTTTAAAGTAATCAAAAAGAAAGATGTCACTTTGAATATTAAGGTATTCCTGACCTAAATAAACCATGACCATTTTAATGTCTCATATGTGTGTGAAAACTGGACAATGAATGAGGAATATCAAAGAATGAATGCCTTTGAGTCATAGTATTGGGGAAGAATATTGAATGGACCAAGACTACCAGAAGAAGGAACAAATTTGCCTGGGAAGAAGTACATCCAGAGGCTCCTTAACTGCAAGACTTACCTTATGTGGTTTGAATATGTTGTCAGAAGGGACCAATCTCTGAAGAAGTGCATCATGCTTGGTGAAGTGGAGAGTGAGAGGAATTAACAAGTGACTGCAGCAGTGGGCCCAAACATAGTGATGGTTATGAGGATGGCACACCCTGTTATACATAGGGTCACTATGAGTGGAAGCAACTTTACAAGACCTAACAACAACAATAATCCTTATCCATCTAGCCACAATGAGCTGTTTTTACAGATAATTAAGGATTAGAGTGGTTAAACTCAAAGTCAGGGAGATAATAAGAGACTGACTCAAGAATTGAACCCAACTTTACCCAAATCAAAGGCCTTGCTCTTTTAGCAATTGCACTGTTCAAGTTCATCCATCCGAGCTACTTAGGAAGAGATTTGTATTGACTTTTTTTTTTGGACGTACCGAACACTTTATTATGCCTATACCTAGACCAAGAAGCTGATGTCCAAACAGAGCTAGGGAATACTGCATGGTTTAAAACTGGGGAAAGTGTATAGCAGGACTGTGTCCTTTCTTCAAACCTAGTCAATCATGCTGAACAAATCATTAGAGAAGCTGGACTTTGTGAAGAAGAGTGTGGCATCAGGATTGGCAGAAGAATCATTAGCAATCTGTGTTATACAGATGACTCAACCTTGCTTACTGAAAGCGGACTTGAGGTGCTTCAAGAGGATCAAGGACTGTAACTTGTATTGACTTTTTTTAACATTGAACTTTCCAAATTATGTACAGAGATAACGATCCTTTCAGCCCTCCAGAAGCAAATGAGTCTGGAATATCTGAAGCCCCTGGACTGGCTGCCTCTGGTCTTAAGTTTACCCTAATGTGCCATACAAATACAAATGTGCCTACTATATAGAGAGAGATCAGCTGGCCTAGTGGACAGAAGGCGATGCTACCAAGCCGAAGGGGGGGGTGACTTTTAATCTGCAGCCCTCGGGCCTGTCTTTCATTGTTTTTGTTCAGACATTCCTCTAGGTCATATATCCCTGGTGTACAAGTTGTCGTACAGTGGTAACTTGTGGTTGCTGTGAGGCTCAACACTGTGACACGGATGTGTCAAATGCATTAATGGTTGGCTACCCAATGCAGACAGAGAGTGGGGTGGAGCTCCCAGATTAAAACAAGCTTGGAAGGAGGAGTGGCATCCACTTCCGTAATAGCTTGCCTCCGAAAACCCTATGAACCTGGAGAGAGGATGAAAGGCACCCAAGCATTGAGGACTCTCCTTCGTAGGGTTGCTATGAATCGCCTATGACTCAACGGCACTTAACAACAACAATGACAACTGTATGTACCATTGGGAGCATTGGTGGCTTAGTAGTAAGAAATTGTGCTTTCAGTGCAAAGGTACATAGTTCTAATCTTCCAGCTGCTCCGCAGGAGAAAGTGGGCAGTCTCCTCTCATGTGATTTACTACCTCTGAAAACCCTCTGAAAGATCAACCATGGGTGGTTGCAACACAACAGTGCACAACAACAACAATATGTACCATGACTTGTAAAAGGTTGAGCTGTTCTGTTTTAAAAGAAGGAACCCACTAGGTCTCACTCAAAGTCAGCAGTGGTTCCTGGAATGCTGATCAATGTGGAAATAGTCAGAGGAACCAGGCTATATGCTCTATAAAATTAGGGATAATGTATTTTTGGCTCATATTTATATACCTAGAAATACTCAGCATACTGTGACTGCAAAAAGTGCTTACTAAAAAGTTAACTAACTAAGCTACTTGGACTTCAAGCCCAGCCCTGAGTTTTATTTGCTGTGTAACCTAAACATGCCAAATCCTCTCTGGGTGTCTGGGCCTCTTCTATAAATGAGGGTATTTGATTGTCTCTGAAGATTTTCTCTAGTCCTGGAGTTCCCTGGAGTGAATAGCGAGCCAGTTCAGGTGCATTTGATGACTGTCCAACCTGCCAAGTGGTCTTTGATGATACAAGTGAGCTGAGATACGTTGGCATAATGTACCTGAGCCAGTGAAAGGTAAACTTAAAACCATTTAAGGTTAAAAAGGTATTTTAAAATAAGTCTTGATGAGACTTAAAAACAAAACTTTGCCTCTTCTTTAAACTTAAATGCACTGAAAGCATCATTTTTTAAATGGATTTAGTGAATTAGATTTCTATAGATTGAAACTGGGGGCTCCCTTTAGCTTTGAGAATGAAGGATAACTAAATTCTGATTCTAATCAGAACTCCAGACTTCTGGTCCGACTTAACCTTTCTTCTTAGGAAGGCACATATAAGGTTGTTGGCTTTGTGAATCAACTGGCAGTTCACTTCAGCCAAGTTGGGAACCTGATCCCCAAAGACTCGGATGAAGGACGGCGGCAGCACTACCGTGAAGAGTTGGCAGTAGGTAGGGCTCCAGGCTGGGCTGAGGCTGCACCTCCAAGCCCGGTCCCTTGCTTAGCCTGGGGAATAGATCCCTGTGCCAGGGTTTTGTAGAACCTCTGGTTACATAAGGTGCTGTATTGCTTACTGTTCTGGACTCGGCTGGATTAACTTCTCAGATTTCTCTTGATGGCCCCTCTCTGTGAAGATAGTTCAGGGAGAACGTAGGGGCATGGAGGCCAAAAGGCAGAAACCCACCTTACTAGGGGTTGGCGTGGTGGATGTAGAATTTAGGCTTATCAACTCTTCCTTGTCTAGGTTCTCAAGAGTCTGAAAAGGTGGTGTATTCAGACCTAGAACTGCCTGAAGAGGAAGAAGAGCCCAAAGAAGCAGAAGCTGAAACTGGGAGTCAAGTAGATGTGCCTGCAGCTGAGGTGCAGTATAGTGTTGCTGTCTGTTCTTTCCCTTCCAATGAAAGCTATAAATTCAAGGTTGGCCTAGAGGAATGGGATGAAGGGAAAAGGTTAGAGGCTACAGGTGGCAATGATTCTGGCAGCGTCACCCTCTCCTGTCTCCACATCATCTGAGATAGGCCTTCCCCCTACTCCCAGTCTACTTTCACCTTGTTCTTATAGCTGAACCCTAATCCTCTGAGTCTTTCCCTCCCCTGCTCCAGGAACCTGAAAAAATGATTGAAGAATTTATGGCTCCTAAGCAACCTAAGGAGCAGAAGCTCACCAACCAGTTCAACTTCAGTGAGAGGGCCTCACAGACCTTCAATAACCCTCTGCGGGTAAAACAGCCTCTGCCTCGGTCCTTTTATCTCTCTGCTCTGTGCTAGGCATGCCAGGAAAGGAGGAGGCCTAACTCCAGCTCCAGCTCCCTCAGCCTGGCAATGGTGGCGGGGCAGAAACCACAGTTTATCTCTCTAAAGAACCAGAAGCATGTATTTAGTTTTCGGAAACTATCCAGGAAGAAGTTCAGAAGGAATCCCCCAAGACTCTACTGAAGGGCTGAAACCTGAAATGGGATTCCGGCAGGGTGTAGAAATCAGGACCTGAGGGAAAGATGAGGCCAAAGAGTGCTAAAAAGGGGGACTGGGAGCTAGTTTGACTGAAGTCTGTGTAGACTACCTGAAAAGACTAGAAAAGCTCCATGGCTCCTGAGCATGGAGGGCTCTTGAGTGCCAGCAAGGAGGCTTTTAGGGTTCAGATGGGAGACTCACATCCATAAGGGCAGAATTCTACACAGATGAATCTGGATGGAGGGCTTTTTTGGAATCTCCTCATCTCTTTGTAGCCCGTGTGCTGACTCCTGGTCATCTGGGTGATGTATGCAGGGGGTAGCACATTTCCCCAGTGAAGTGGAAGCTCCAATTTTAATAAGAAGCCCTCTATGAGCTGATGTCTGTGCTGTGTCTGGAAACTGGCCACCAGCCTGGCTACCTGCAGACTGTTGGTCCATGTTCCACTTAGTCTTTGCTGAAATTGGCATAATCAGTATTCTCACTTCCCCTAGCTTCTAGCTTAGGTGTCTTCTAAGGAAAGCCCAAAGCGGGGAGAAAGTTGCTCTACTTTCATGCATACGTAGTCCTTTACCCAGGCCTCTCTTTACTTCCTAAGCTCTATATCCTTACCTGTCCCCTTAGCTTAACTGTAATTGTGTTAAGGAGTAGTTAAGAGCTTTCTGTGGGTTATCTAGGACCGGGAATGTCAGATGGAGCCTCCTCCAAGGACAAACTTTTCAGCCACAGCCAATCAGGTAAGATCCTGTGTCAGCCTGAAAAATCATCACCATCTCCCATGTCTATGGCCACTTACCTTGTTCAGCAGCTGGAGAGGCCAGCCTGATAACACATTCCTCTGGCTTTCTGCCCTCCGCCTCTGTCCACCTACCTGCTTTTCTTCCCAAGCATCCAGGCTCTGACACTAGGTACACGAGTCAGTATGTCTCTAACCAGTGAGTTCTGGGCCAGTACCTTGCCCCAAGATAAGGCTGTCCACGTTGGAACAGGCCTAGCTTCCTTTTCAGAGACCAGGGGAAGATGTTTATATGGACTCTATGGCTGGCTTGGAGTATTAACACTTTGACCCTGCCCTTCCTGTAGCTTGCAGTATTTGTGCAGACCCTTCTTCCCCTTCCAGTCCTATTGGGTGCCAAAGATGATTTGAGCAGGATATGGTGGCAGGAGACCTGCTCATACTGTAATATCCTGGGAAAATCATGTCACTCTTAAAGTCTCAGTTTTCTTTGTCTAAGCTAGGATGACAGCCTGCTTTGCAGAATGGCTGGGAGGCTCTGAATGAAGTAACCAATGTTGAAGTCCTTTATGTCTAGACTAGCAGCCTGTGGGTGAATTAAATGAAAGGTACGCCTGTCTGGCCTCCAGGTGGCAGTGAGTGCCCAGCTCTGGGGAGTACACGGTGTGAGCTCGGGTGCTCGCCCAGGCCGAGATCTTTGCTGCTTCCCCTGCTACTGCCCTGTAGGCTTCTTTTACTGTCAGATCTAATTCACAGAGGTTCCCTTCCCTGTAATGATTTCCTATTAGCACTGAAAAGGTGTAACCAGTGATGTTGACGGCCAGCTTGTTTATCCAGACTCCATGGGTAGAGATTTATTTTTTTTTATTATTTCCTAATTCAGAGTCTTATAAATCACCAAAAAACAGTGAGCTAGCCTGATTTGTACTGCCTAATGAGGTTGCAGGTCAGAATGATGCTGATTTCTAGCTAGCAATTCAACCTTGAGAAAAAAAAAATTAGTAAGTCCAATCAAGGTACCCTGAAGACACATTTATCCCTATCCTAAGGCTGATGATATCAAGAAAGATCGACACTGAATACATAATTACAGGGAGGCAAGCAGAGGATGATGTAGAGGCATTTGACAAGGGTTACCATAGTTGATTCCCTAAACTCAATGGCTGATGAGGAGCTGGCTAGGTGAAAATTGTACCTGGTGATGATTCTTCTTCTGTTGCCCTTTTCTAGTGGGAGATCTATGATGCGTATGTAGAGGAGCTCAAGAAGCAGGAAAAGACCAAAGAGAAGGAGAAGACAAAGACTCCAGTGTCTAAAAAATCAGGGGCGATGGCCACGAGGAAGCTGACATCAATGGAGTCCCAGGTTTGTCGAGGTTTCATGGTTCAGTTGTAGAAAATGTCTGAATAGGTCCTTGGTCCCTAAGTCAAGACAGAAGCTTGACTACTTGGAAAATTTTACAGACATCTAAGAAAAGGGAGTTATTTGGACCTTTGTTGTTATTGTTATGTGCCGTCGTGTCACTTGCGACTCATAGCGACCCTGTGTACAAGAGCCCTAAACTCTGCTCTGTCCTGTGCCAATTGCACTGCCTCTGACACACCCATCCCAATTACCCCAGTCACTGGATCAATCCACCTCATAGAGGATCTTCCCCTCCTGCGCCATCCCTCCACCCTCCCAAGCATGATGTCCCTCTCCAAGGACCAGTCCCTCCTTACAACATGTCCAAAGTATGTCAGACAAAGCCCCAGAATTCTTGCCTCCAAGGAGCAGCCTGGTTTAACGCTCTCCAGGATGAATCTGTTTTTCTTGGCAGTCCATCGTACATTCAATACTCTTCTCCAGCACCACACTCAAAGGCGTCAATTCTCCTTCTATCCTCCCTAGTCATTGTCCAACTCTCTGATGCATAACAAGTGATTGCAAAGACCATAGCCTGTATCAGACACACTTTAGTCTCCAGAGTGACACCATTGCTCTTCAGTACCCTGGAAAGGTCCCTAACAGCAGACTTTCCCATAGCAATACGTTTTTTGAATTCCTGACTACTGGTGCCAAGAGTGTTGACCATGGAGCCAAGCAGACTAAAATTGTTAACAGTCTCAATCTCTTCACCATCCATCCTCATTTTTTAAATTGTTCTTTTCTTGTGAGAAGGAAAGCTACAACTACCTCTGGAATTTCAGTCCCTCTCCAACTTAATACTAGAGACTCAGAATTGTTTGGATAAGTGGCAACAGAAGACACGAACTTCGTTTTAAGTTCTGTATGCCTATCGATGCTCTGAGGAGGCTCCTCAGGGTAGGGATGTATGGAGTGAGGGCTCATGAGGTTTGAGATGGTAAGATGTTCTTTAGCCTTAGTCCTTGGATTTATTTGTGCCAATATTTTAGATGAATTTTCAGATTCATAAACTAGTTCATAAATGACCACAGGTACCAAGAAGCCCAAGGAAATGTATGTGGTCAACATGGAGCTGGACTTAGCATGAGTCACTTGGTGGTGAATGTGTGGTTAGGTGCCATTGAGTCAAGTATAACTCATTGTGACTCTATTAAGAAGAGACCTGAGCCCTGTCCTGTCCTGTGCCACCATTTCCATCTCTGATATAGTTGATCCTCTAGCTGCAGTCACTGTGTCAATGCATCACATAGGAGTCGCCAAAGGGTGGTTTATTATGGAAGTTATGATTGGAAAGCTTATGTTTGGCATGGGTGTGAGGATCACTGTGGTAGTTGCAGTGCTGTAAAAATACAGGGAGGATTACCACAGGAAGATGCTTAAGGAGGCTAGAGTTCCCATATAGAGATCAGGGTAAGATGGGAGGGACAAGATCCATAGGAAGCTGGGGGATTGGATCAGCACCTTGGAGAGCGCCTACAGCAGCTCTTTGGGCCATGAGCCTGCTTCATCCTGGCATAGAAACCAGGCCAGTGGAAAGTTCTTCTTTAGTCTAAAGTATGTCCAAATCCACTGCTGTCAAGCCAATCCTGGCTCATAACAACCTTATAGGACAAGGTAGAACCTCAACATTTGATCTTGAAAGCTATGATCTCTATGGAACAGGAAAAATATGTGGCTGTGTACTTCTATAAAAATTTATAGAACCATGAACTTTTCCATTAGCAGCCAACTGCTAGAACCCTGTCCCATGCGCCTACTTCCTTTTGATTCCCTGTTCTACGACCTTGAGAAGGCTTTTTAAAAAAAATTATGTCTTGGGGCGCCCTGCCTTTGCTCAATAGGAATGGCTGTAATTCTGTTTTATTCAATCACAGACCAAATACTCCATGATCATGGCCCATGCTGGTTGCTTGAAATTTTTAATGATATCTTGAGACCTTTCCTTCTATTTTTTCCTGTACAGACTCTTCTTAATTTTTCTGAACCGTTATACAAAAACTAAGGTCTTCAGAAAGACTATTTTCTTGGTTCAAGATTTACATGAAGAGCTATTTGGTTTGACTTGGGGATATATGCTGGGATCATGGCTTCAGAGACCTCAGCTACAGTCACCAAGGCCTACAGACCAGAAAGAAAATACCTGTGACTAAAATCTGTCCTGATATCTTAGCCCTGCCTTCAGAGGAAAGGAACTCCTCCTTCACACTGGGTTCCTCCAGCTTCACTGATGTGGGAGGCTGTGAAATAGGCAGATTCTAGTCCTCTGAACTAGGAAACTGCAGTGGAAGCAGGGTAGGGGACAGTATATAACATACACATACACAAGTGAGTGCCTTAGTGTGCAGCTTCTTCCCAAGCTTTAGCCAGACTGAGCCAAGCTGTCTGTGGGACAGAGTGTGTCAGTCACCTTCACCTTTGCCCAGGCCTTCTCTATTATTAGAATGACTCACCTTCCTTTGAAACCTGAGTCTAATTGTTGTTGTTACGTACTATCGAGTTGGAACTTAGCTGAACTCTTAGCTGACCAGTTTTCAGAGACGGTAAATCACATAAGAGGAGATTGTCCATCCTTTTCTCAAAGAATAGCTGGTAGATTAGAACCATGTGCCTTAGGTAGACAGCACGACTTCTTGCCACTTGGTCACCAGAGCTCCATCAGTCTGACTGTTGTTGTTGTTGTTAGGTGCCATCGGGTCGAGTATAACTCATAGTGACCCTGTGAAAAGCAGGTCCGAACCCTGCCCTGTCCTGTGCCATCCTCACCATCTCTGATACACTTGTGCTCATTGCTATAGTCACCGTGTCAGTCCATCTGAATGGGGGTCTTCCTCTCTTCACCGAACTTCTATCACCCTTCTAAGCATAGTGCCTTTTCCAAAGATGTTGCTATAAACTCGGGTGTGTGTGGAAGGGAAGAAAACAGTCAGAATAACTTCATGAAACCCAGTAAGAAGTCTCCAGTGATGGACTTGAGCTTTCTACCTCATCAATACTTTGTGTGAATGCACAGAAGTAACTGCAAGCTTGTCTGATCTGAAAGATTAAGACGGGAGTAAGGGAAGGGTACAGAGACCACAAGTTCATTTCAAATCAGTATCAACATATAGCTACTCACAGTATCTAAAACAAAGGAGGTGACTATTCCCCACACCCTCTCCTTCTTAGACCATGTGTGGAGCATTGAGTCTCCTGTAACGAAGAGTGAGTTACCAGGCTGGGGAGGGATTGCCGATCAGTGCGGCAGAGTCTTATATAATGTGGGTCTCAGAGCATGGGTCCTAAAAACCACAGACCTGCATTTCCATCCTAACTTTGCTATTTATTGGCTAAGTGATTATGGACAACTTTCTTAACTTCTCTGAAACCTTCATTTCCTTATCTTAATGAAACCTACTTTGAAAGATTGTTGTAAGAATCTGATATGATGTATAGACATCTCTTAACACAGTATCTTCTTAAACTCATCAAGAAAATAGCTATTGCTGTTATTAATATGTCAGATGGCAGTTTTGCACAAGTTACCTAACTTTTCTGAGTCTTAGAATCCTTATGATAAAGTAGAGATGGATAATGGTCTCTGCCTCATAGGGTTATTGTAAGGATTAAATGTAAAACCTGTGGTATTTAACCCAGTGCCCAGAAGTGATGATGCCAGAGGAAAGATACAAACTGCCTATAAATAAAGGCATATCTTGGGAACTACCCTTGGATGGAAGTTCAAACCCTAAGTTTATCTTGGGAAACTGACTGATGAGGACATTCATCAAAGTCCTCGGACTCTGTCTACTCCTAACAACTCCTTGATCTCCTTCCCTTGGCAACTTCCTGGCAAGCCTGCCTCCTCAACATCAGATGGCACCTTCTGTGGTCAGACAGTCTGGTAAGTGAAACCCACCTCAGTAGAGAGGAAAGTGCTGTCTTACAGCCCCAGGAATTAAATGTTTGGTGATGACTTCTCTGAGAGAGAAGGAGAGTGCCTCATTCTCTAAATCAACACTTTCAGGTGAATCTTACATGGCCTCTCAGCTCCCTATGTAAGGTATCCCTAACCTGATTGACTCCTGCTGCCTCCCCTAAACAATTTAGGCTTTTTTTGCCAGCTCCAATTGCTTTGTTCTTCACCCATTAGTTTTCCATGTGGCTCATCTTATGTATTCATGGACTTTTCACATAATAATGATCTTGGGTTTTAAGTCATTTTTCCCTAACATGGTACTTCTTATTCTCTTGTGGTCTGCTCAGGGGTAAGGGTCCTGGATTAGGAATCTCAGTTCTGCCTTGTTCTTCTGAGTACAAGCATCTCTTGCTCTCCTCTCTGACCCTTTGTGTCTTTCTCAACTCTCAACTCAATAAAGGAAATGGAGCAGAAGACCTCTGTGATCTTTAATGAGAGTCTGTGAGCCATTCCCTGACCTGGAAAATCCTATCTCCTGCAAAGAATCCTCCTTCCTGTTCTTAGCTCCTCTTCTCGTCGATACCCTTCTTGGGCTCTTTGATGCCTTATGCTCAGAGATAAGCCTTCTAATGAAACAAGCACAGAACAAAAATGTATGAAGTTGGCTGTCTGGGGCCAGGTCTGGACCTGTGTCATACCTGAAGCATGAAGCAGACTGCCTCTGTGGCCAGCTGTGGTCCTGTGCCACAGCTATGGGCCTGCACTTTTCCCTTGTGCTGCTGTGAGGTGTTGTTTCTAAAAGGGGGTGATGGTATATGCTGGGCCTTTTGAGGTACCTTTACAGAGATGTCTTGGGTGGGCAGTGTCAGAAGGACATTCCTGAACTTGCAAGTCTGGGCTGTGCCTCTAGGCATATACCCTGGCCAGGAGCTAGCTTATGAGCACCTTTTGCCTCTGTATCCCCACAGAGTGATGACATCACCAAAGTGAGCCAAGCTGCTAAAATCGTAGAGCGGATGGTCAACCAGAACACATATGATGACGTTGCTCAAGGTATGATATGAAGTTCTGGGAAAAGCACAGTTACTGACCATACTTTTTTAAAAAAAAAATTATTATTTTGTGTGTGTGTACCGTCAAATCAGATCTGACTGGTACAGGAGGAGATTGCCCCTCCTTCTCCAGCAAAGCATATGGTGGATTCGAACCTTATACCTCTGGGATTGCCGTGCATCTTCTTGCCACTAGGCCACCAGAGCTCCCTTGACTATACTTTTTTTTT